TTTTCCTCGCTATCATCTGGCTTATTGCCACATCCCGTTGAAACACTGTTTCACATGCGATCAACAAAGTTAAGCAACATCAAGTCTAGTCAGTACCTAGAGGGGTAACCGTTTAGGAGTACTAGGTGCTGTAAGCAAGGATGTGCGGTTGGTGTAAAGGATAAATGCTCGGAATTGTTAATCGGAGAACCGAGTTCCAATTCCAGTTGGGTTCGTTATATTCGCTTACACGCAAATACTCTTGAGAAAGTTATGAATCCGCCGACTATGGGTTAATTAGTAAGAATTATAAGACTAAAATATTACTATCTAAAAACATCTTACAATCTAATAATATTTTAATTTTCTGGCTTTAAGTTGCAAATAGATCATAAGCCGTAGTAAAGGAATCAGTCAATAGAAAACATCTAATTCTATCTATCTTGGGCTGTTTTTCTTTATAACGACTATAAATCTTGCCTTCTTACAATTAATAGTTAGTCTTTTCTTCTTGCTTTTCTTTAATACATTGTCTAGGAAATCCTCCAATATTCTTTCTGTGTCTGACATCAGGGGCGGTGTCATCTGCATCTTTTGTTATTAAGATTGTATCCAACGCCAGAACATTCTTTAACGTCCCAACAGATCACTAATGTAAATTTCTTTTGTCATCAGTTTACCTAACTCCTTTCTTCGTGCCTGGGAGCATACTTTGCCACAATGACCGACTTTTGTCAGGAGAAATGCGTTAATGCTTTTCCTCAGAGTGCGTTGGGAATATATACGAGAGAAACACATTCAAAAAGAATATGTTTGGCCAGACATTGGGAAGTATGTCAGTCCAAGAACATTTTTCGCACACCCTTGTAGAGTTAACCCGAAATCGAACATATTCTGTCGAGGTTATTTTTAGCGTAATGCAAGAGAGATCTTAAGAAGGCCGGAGAACAGATCGGAGTGAACATCGCACTGCATATAACGAAAATAAGTTTAGTATTATCCGTTATTAATAATTAACTATTTCGTTCATCATAATTTCAGATGCTTTTTATCGCATTTTAGTTAAACCAACACACTCCGTTTATTATTATCTGATCGAAAAAGACTGGCGATTTAGAATAAAATCTGGGGCTACTCAGTTTCTAGTGAATATCGCTCAATCATGGATTACACGATTTCGATTCTTAATATCACATCCAAGGGCTTTGGAAAAATACATCACATCATCCATGGCATTTAGCACCACCCCACTATAGTTGACATTTATCTTCATACAACTTTGGGGAAAAGGAGAAGCTTTCAAACCTTGGTTGGGATTGAAGAAAATTTAATCCAGCAAATGGCTCGAAAGTAGAATTTGCAAAATGATTTGAATAGTGGAAGTGGTACCTAGATATGTGTGTGATGTCTCACCAAAAAAAATATTTGAAGAGAACCCTGAGGTCATTTTCATAAGTTGTTTACTTTTTCTTTAATATTAAAAAGGTGACCGGATCCCGGGCAGACATCGTATAAAAACGCACAGCCAAATGCAAATCAAAGAGGAAAATAAGAGAACACATTCCATGGAGACAGAAATGGCGATTGACAACTCATTTAAATTTATGAAGATCGAAGTTGACAGGAAAACAGGAAGTGAGATGCATGAGCAAAAAGTGCGGGAAAAGAAACTATTAGCATAGAACTTACAGTGAGAACGAGTAAATTCAGCAGTGACATAGTTACCAATATTTTGTGGTGTTTAAAGTCGTGTGGAACAGGCACCAACGAGGAAGGCTCTTCAAGAGCAGAAAATGGAATCGGCGCGTTTGAGTTTCAAATATGACCGAGTCTGTTACATTCAGTTTTGTGCTAATGCTCAAGGGAAAATGTATGAATTCTTCTCTTCTCTCGGCGTCCAGACACGGTAGGAAAAATAGGGATTTATTGCTTTGCGTGATAGGTAATCTAGTAAGAAAATTCTCGATTCATGAGCGTAAATAAAAAAGCGGCAAACACGTTCCACTATTTTTGCGAAGAATGCATGGCAAATCATTGACAGTAAAGAAAACGAATCTGTTAAAAGCATATCGAGTAAATAGCATATATATATATATATATATATATATATATATATATATATATATATATATATATATACATACAGAGAGAGAGAGAAAGAGAGAGTAAATAGCAGTTTAGGCTGGACTTTGTTTTAGGTTTGGTTAGCAATCACTTTAAAGGAATCAAGACTCAAGCAATTTGTGAAGAACCAACATAATGCTCTGCCGTCTGGGGCTCCAGAATACACCATCTGCAACCCTGCAGAGAATTAAGACCCCCCAATGTGGGGTCCTGTGTATGACGATAACCTACAGCGGAGTAATGTGGTATGACAATAAAACTACATCCGAGAGGAAGGCCTCTGATCAGGAGGTTTTGATGTGTGTGGAACCGCCTCTTAATTACTAGTGTACCCAGGTACACTCTGACCCGGCTTGGTAGCACCAGTTAGGGTCCCAGCTTTGACCAAATAGTTAACCCCCAAACTGGGGTCAAAATATTATGTAAAAAATGTAAAAATAGGTTTTAATACTAGTAATACATTTTTGGAAAAAGTAATACCAGTAATAAATTAAAAATAAATAAATTAAAAAATAATACCAGCAATAAATTAAAAGTTAATAAATAAATTAAAAAATAATACCAGCAATTAATTAGAAATTAATGAATAAATTTTAAAAATAATGCCAGGTATAAATTAAAAATTAATAAATAAATTAAAAAATAATACCAGCAATAAATTAAAAATGAATAAATAAATTAAAAATAATAGCAACAATAAATTAAAAATTAATAACAAAATTAAAAAAAATAATACCAGCAAAAATTAAAATTATTAAATAAATTAAAAAATAATAGCAACAATAAATTAAAAATTAAAATTAACAAAAAAATTAAAAAATAATAAATTAAAAAAATAATAGCAACAAAAAATTAAAAATTAATAAATAAAATTAAAAAAATAATAGCAAAAATAAATTAAAAATTAATTAAAAAATAACTAAAATTAAAAAATAACTAATAAAAAATAATACCAGCAAAAATTAAAAATTATTAAATAAATTAAAAAAATAATAGCAACAATAAATTAAAAATTAATAACAAAATTAAAAAAATAATACCAGCAAAAAATTAAAAATTAATAAATAAATTAAAAAATAATAGCAACAATAAATTAAAAATTAATAACTAAATTAAAAAATAATACCAGCAAAAAAAATTAAAAATTATTAAATAAATTAAAAAAATAATAGCAACAATAAATTAAAAATTAATAACTAAATTAAAAAATAATACCAAAAAAATTAAAAATTAATAAATAAATTAAAAAATAATAGCAACAATAAATTAAAAATTAATAAATAAATTAAAAAATAATACCAGGAATAGATTTTTGAAAAACAAAATTATTACCAGCAACACATTTAAAAAAAGAAAAAAAATACAGCAATACATTTTTGAAAAGAAAAGTACCAACAATAAAAAAACAAGAAAAAAAAAAACCCAAAAAAACATGTCGTCATTGAATAAAACGCATTGAGGTTGATATGCCGTAAAACAAAGCAAATCAAATTCATCTGGAAGTGCATGGCATTGATGAAAAAAATAAAAATGAAGAAAAAAGAAAAGAAAAAAAATAACGAATCGTCTCTGGTTGTCAGAAATCATAAAATGTTGCTTGTAATTTCTGAGAAGTTGCCATTGAACATTATCTGTTTGAACCAGATACGAAGTTAAAAAAGCGTGTTCTCGTATTGTTTTGATCTATCAAATATCCTCTTGTTTAAATGAAGCTCACCGATGCGGCGTTTGATGTCCTCTTTTCAAATCCTTCAACAATTAAATGGTGCCCACGACATAACAGATGATGATAATTGCAGTTTGTTTACACAAGAACAAAGAGTTGTGCTGATCGACTGGTCGGCAAAAAAAAATAAAAAAATTGCAAATAGGGAAAAACGAATGGTTAAGTGTATCTGTACACATTAATTTCCTTTACAGGGACTCTTAACAAAACTGTCTGATTCAGTCGATAATATTTGATTTGGTTTTATATATTTATGGTGGTTTAATTGGTTCTTCCCTTTGGTCTTTTGGTAGCTTTTCGTTATTGGATGACAGACACTGTATTAGTATAACATATATACTTGCTATCAGTGTAACGGCAAAGTTTTACAATGTCAAGCACTTTTGCGTAAGGGAGCAATCGATCTAGTTTTCGCTTTTTCTTTAGCTATATATATATATATATATATATAAAAACATATATATATTGAACAATAAAAAAATATTAAAAAATTAAAATCTTCAGACACACTGGGTTGGAGATTAATATTCTTTCGTTTTTTTTTATTATTATTTCATTGAGATTCCTCGACTAGTTTCATCCAAAATGGCCATCATCGGGAGAAGAAATATTTCTGCTTGCTGGTAGCAGTAAACTACAGAAATGAATGTCTTGATGGAGAAAATGAACTTTTGTCTGTAGTTTTCATATGATTTTTGATTTTTTATCTTTTTAACATGAATCTTTTAACATTCCTTGTGTTCGTCAAACAGTCTCTTTTAAGTTATTTGAGATAAGTGCTGGATTGATACATATTATTCTGAATTCTCTGGTCAGTTTGACAGTTTTATTGAACCTGGTGAGGGGATGTGTCTCTGTTTAGTGTTTGTGTGTGTGTTATTTGGTTCTTAGGGAGTGAGTGAGTATGATATGTGTAAGCGTGTGTATTGCTGTGGGTGTGTGTTATCATTTGGCTCATTAGGGAGTGAGTGAGTATGATGTGTGTAAGTATATATATATATATATATATATATATATATATAATCAAATCGCGTTCTCTCAGTCATTGTCTGTTTATCTAAAAAATAAATACGCTTAAATTTACCTTCATGCCTGTCGTGGGCTTAGTGGTAGAATCCCAACTGACGCCAAATCAGTCTGGGTTCGATAAGAAGAATTAAGGTTAAGGCTTGCTGACACACCGGTCCACGTATGATCACCGAAGTTAAGCCGCGTCGAACCTCGTCAGTAACTAGATGGGTGACCGCTTGGGAATACCAAGTGCTATAATCTTGGATGTGTGTTGTTTGGATAATGGCTCGGAATTTTTAATCCGGGAGCCGAGTTCCAATTCACGTTGGGTTCGTTATATACACTTACGTGCACATACCCGTGGGAAAGTTATGAATCCACCTTTCCTCCCCCTGGCTATGGGTTAATTAGTAAGAATTGTATGATTAAATCAGTATTATCTAAAAATAATCTTACAATCTAAAAGTATTTTATGCTTTTAAATAACCTGCAAAACCTTAGAAAACGAATAAATAAGACAATCAACACTATTTCCTTATTCGGACTATCGTCCTCATCTTTGTTGCCATATTTATCACAACGTTTCAACCATTGTACGTTTGGAATGTCGAACTAAAGACTTTATTTCGCTTGCTGGGATCCTGTCACTGGATCTAACCAACGCCTTTATCCACTGTGCCATGGAGACCCAAAGAGTGTGAGTTCAATACCCGGTTAAGGCGGTGGAGAACTTGAAGAGGGAAATTAACAGGAGATAACTGATAACTGACATCCATTAGACATGGCACGTGAAACTACAACAGTCTACCCCAGCGAGCGAAATAGAAAACATTCATTTCTAAGAATTTTCATTGTCTACGACTTGGATACGGCAATGTTCAAAACCTCTTAACAAGAGATGTGCATTCTTTGAAAAGGGTAACTGATGCTTGCTTTGCTGGGAAATCTTCCATTGCTGAGAAGTCTAAACTACTCCTAGCTTGTCTGTTTTCCCCAATATAATAAAGAACGCCCGTTGTAACGGTGCACATTTTCCTTATTAAGACACTCGCTTGACCTATAGACGTCAATTTCACTGTTTAAAAAGAAAAGAATGTCTATTCACACACATGTATCTACGAGATATTACAATTATAGTAATAAGATTGATTTGTTTTTTTTTGTGGCTTATAAACTATTTACAGGTTATTTTACGTATTAAGACTTATTTGGAGATTATACTGTTTTGCCGATACAAGTCCTTCTAATTAACCCATAGATGGGAGGAGAAGAGCTTGATTCATATATTTCCCCTAGAGTATTTGCGCGTAAGTGAATATAATGAACACGATTTCCAATTCCGAGCCATTATTCATTAAAACATCCATGCTTACAGCACTTGATATTCTCACGCGGTCATATATCTAGGTAATGACCAGGCTCGACATTGCTTAACTTCGGTGATAATACGAGGACCGGTTATTTGACCATATGTTGGGAAGCCTACAGTAATAAGAAATATATAATTTATTGTATGACATATATCTTTTAAAGCCTTTTGTGGAAATGTCGAGCTTCTTTGTAAGTTTATCATATGAAGAGGTAAATATTTTCGTTGTATCTCCATTGAGGGCGTTAATTTCTGATCATAACCGAGATAGAATAATTATTGGCAGGGAAGCCATTTTCGGTGATAATTAATACAAAATGGCGATTTCTTTTCGTCAGAAGAAAAGATTGCTTTTCTTGTCAGCTTGAAAGATTGAAGAATTCTCTGTTCTATTTTTCAGTCAAAACTAAAGAGAAAAGAAACTGTACGACGTTATTCCTAAGACTATCATTTTTCGACTCTATCTTTTTTCTCTGAGCTACACTCAAAAGGTAAATCGCATTACTGAATTGCTCCTGTTATTTTTGGAATCCAATTTATCTCATTGATATCAAGCAGTAAAAATGTTCTTTTTACATTATTCTATGCTTGTATTCCTGTAGATAAATTATTGTACGTCAAATTAAAAACAAACAAATAAATAAATTATTATTTGCCGGATATTCGATTGGAAACAACCTTTCATTTTCCCTTTTCTTAGAGTTTCATATTCTTACATAACCCACCAGCAAGATATATTGTTTTCCTCATTGCAAGAAATGCGTAGAATTAGCGCCTTGGATTTAAAACTATTCAATAAAGAATCTTGGCACGAAGAAAGCGTATATATATATATATTTCAACATCTTTGTTCGCTATTCAGTTCTATCAATTTCTTTTTTGTAATTTTTAGTGAAACAATCCGCCGGAGACGAATTACAATCAAACTCCGTATTATATAAATTTATCGTCTGCCGATATCGTTAAAAGTGACAGCGGAATTTAAGTGATTTATCACCTGACTTTGTGATATTTACGGCAGGGATAATGTAGGATTTTTATCTATAAAATTAACTCTATTTTCGCAAGAAAATAATGAAAGCTGTTTTTTTGCCATTAAAAGTTAAAATATCCAAAGAATGCTACAATGAAAAATAAATACGAAAGAAAAAGTAATGTATTATCAAACATTTAGGACTATTTAGGAAGGAGTTATTTCATTATTATGTTTGTTTTCTTGATTGATGTTGTTTAGAGGCATATCAACATTTCTATGGGTTATTTAATACCGAAATGTAAATATTTTGTCCTCAATTTTATGGCTTAAACTAAATATATTTTGAACGCAAATGTATGCCTTAAACTACATATTTTTTCATAGTTTTATACTTTGAGAGTAGACATGTTTTATAGATATATAGTTTGTTCTATATATTTTGGTAGAAACTTATTTCTTTAGGGTAGGTTATTATGTTGAGGATTTCAGTATTTTCACATAGTTTTCTGGCGTTGGTTTCCTTGTAGTATTCATGTCTTACACGTGCTTCATTTTTATGATAAAACGAAATAAATAAATTGTTAAAAACAATAATCATTATGCACCAGAGGAAAGCAGATTTGGGTGATTTGAAAGGATCACAAGACTGCCGCACGTAAAAAAATGATTCCCCACCATATCTTTTTCTCACCGACGAAACATGGCAAGTCTCTCGGTACTCTGTCAATATTTCAATGGATAATGTTCTGATGAGATACATTCTAGCAGATTCTACTAGTTCAGACCTTTATATTTTCATTTTAGAATTAATGAATGTCAGCTTGTTTGAGAGTCATTTAATATCCACAACTTTTTAAAATCATATTTTTTCATATTTGTTCACTGTATTTTTGTACATATACAGCAATAGTTAGCTGGGACTCAAGCTCATCCCAGAACTTAAATGGAACTTATATGATCCATTGTTAAAGATACTGGGAAAGTGATAAGTTCCTTGTACTGTTCCAGAAAGTATCTGGCTCTTCCTACCATGATATATTATTTACAAGAGTTAAATCAAACCAAAAATGATGCATCTGGATTTGAGCTGTCTTTAGTTTCCAGCCATGATAGAATGCGAAAGCATCTACATAGCCTTGTAGGTTATTAATTATTCCCCACCATACCTCTTTCTCACACCGATACATGGCAAGTCTCTCGGTACTCTGTCACTATTTCAATGGAAAATGTTCTGATGAGATACATTCTAGCAGATTCTACTAGTTCAGACCTTTATATTTGAGACACGTTGTGCCACATATACTGGGATGAATCATCCTCATTTACTTTGCATTCCATTGGTAAAAACAATTCCATTTGGACAGCTTCTTCCACTACTTTTTGAAACAGACTCCTGAAAGGATGCTTCCCAATCACTACAATTCTAAGGTCAAACCAACTTTCTTCTATATCTTCATAATCTTCAAACCATCATCTTTTACTTTATATCTTCATAATGTGCGCTCCTTACCTCCTCTTCTTATGTCCATAAAACCTCATTCAGTATCCCTCTACTTAAGTGGCTCTTTAAAAAACAAACAAACAAACAAACAACAACAACAACAACAACAACAACGAAAGAATGTTATAAAAATGAAAGAAACGACATCATTTATCAAAGTAAATTTGATAAATGATTTGAGTGACTATGAATTCGAACGTGAATGTAGAAAAATCACGTGGTAGAGATAAACACTCAGTTGTGGAGCAAGCTAAGTGAATAATAATCCAACCTTTAGAAAGAGAGCTATTTATGTTACCATGGAGCATCTCATTGTGCTAAAGTGGGATAGTCCATTGCTTGGGCTGTGATTGGCTGCTGGTACCTGAGTGGAGGTATTTCTATATAAATACCAGCTTGATTCATCAGTTAGTTTGCAGGGTTTGTATTAAGTTACAACCTGCTTTATTTTTGTCTGCCAGCTGGACGCTAGCTGGGACCTTTACGTCGGTAAGTGCTGCTTATTCTACAGTGAATTCTCGAAGATAATTAGCGAATTATCAATTAGGGGAAGGCGATAGATTTCTTTAAAAAGGGAATTTCTCTCTCAGATAATTTCAGTAAGAATTTTGCCTCTTAATGTACAAGCAGAACTAAAACAATAAAAAAATTGGGACAATCTCTATGTAAATATTTTTACTGTCTCTCTCCATCACAGACAAGTAGTCAGTAAAATGTACATACTAAGGGCAATAACGTTGGAGTAATGGATAGCGGCTCGGACTGAGGAAATGGAGAGTTCGAATTCCAGTCGAATCCATTACATTCACTTACATGTTAATACCTAGGGAATCCTCTTCTTCTCCCCCCACCCCCACCGGCTATGGGTAAATAGCAGGACAGACTGGATGACATCCGCAGAAAAAATTGCAACCTACTGCGAAAGAGTCATGATCGCCTAAGCGTGTATCACGACGTAAGGGCAATAAAAGCTGCCAGTTTAGACGACACGCGTTGAGCTGTTTAAGATCATGAACTTCTCTCTCCAGAAAGCAGAGACAGGCAAACTTTAGTATATTGGCACAAAGAAAATCGGAGAAACGAACGTAGGAACGAACGCAACCGATTCAACCCGCAAACGAACAACAAACTACTATGACCGTTATCAATCGTATTTAGAAGTTGGTGGCACCTACAGCCACATACCCAACCTTAAGCTAATATAGTGTGACCATCCCTTCTATCTTGCAGGTAATAATACTTTCTTTCAGTTTTCTAGTCCTGCCTATGACGACAAACTACATCCGGCAGCAAGACCTCTGGTCGGGAGATTGGAGGTTTTGAGGAGCGTAGAACGACTTCTTAATTGCAGTTGTTCCCAGATCCGTTCTGACCCAAAGTGGTAGCACCTGTTTTGGGTCCCAGCTATGGGT